TTGGACCCCGGGTGCCCCCCGCCCCCCCCGGCAGCGCTGCCCCATTGGCTGCGAGCGCTGCCCATCAACCGGGAGGGGCCCGGGGGGGGGTCGAGGTGGGCTAATGGAGGTGTCCTGGGATGCTGGGGATGCTGGAGGGGAGCGTGGAAGGAATGAAGGGGGGATGCTGGGAGCGGGATGCAGGGGGTGCAGGTTCAGCACCTGCCCTGCCCGCCCGAGGACCCCGGCCCAGGTCACCTCCTGCTGCTCCTTCCCTGCTTCCTCCTTGCTCTGCCCCACTCACCCACCTCTGGCTCCTGTCCCTGCTGGTGGCTGATCCCAAAGCACCCCAACAACCCCCTTCTCTTCGTGTGCTTTAGGGCTGGCAGGGTCCAGGCACCCCGTGTAGGGTCCCCTGTTACCTGCACAGAGGGGACACCAGGACACACCTGGGTCCTCCCTGGCTGGCAAAGCCCTGGGAAAAAGGCTGAGAAAACTGCTCTGATCTCCAGAACCCAACGTGGAGTGTTTCCATGGTGATCACTGGCAGCTCTTCCCAGTGATCTCGGCCATCCTGCTGTGTTCCCAGTGCCACCCAGGCCCATCCACAGCTGGTGGCCACTAAGCCTGGATGAAGTCTCCATCCAGCCAGGGCTGGTCCCCATCCAGGCCCCCTGCAGGGCTGTGAGGTGCCATGGGGTGCTCTGCCCTTCCCCATGGCCCAGTGTCCCCCAGCCCAGCTCTGCTCTTGGGGTGCACCCACCCTGTATGCCAAGGTGGCTGCATGAAGCTGCAGAAAAATTAATGAGGGCTTAATTGAAGGAGCGTGGCTGCCAGGGCTGAGACCGGTGCAGCTCAGCTCATGGGACAGGGAGTGTTGAAAGAGCAGGGGGAGGCTGGAAGGGGTGGGGCAACACCAGGCTGGGGGGGGGACGGGGACACTGAGGACGGGGACAAGGACAGCTGTGGGGAGTCCGTCTTTTGGGGTCTAGGACACCTCGAATCGTGGTGCTGGGAGGTGCCCGGGGTCATGTGGGGGTGGCCACACTGGTGGCCCCTGGAGCACCCAGCTGAGCCCAGCACCCTGATCAGGGCATCCCAGGCTGACACAAGCCCAGGCGACGCTGGCCCTGGGATTGCAGCGGGGGGGACACCAGGCTGGGGAGGGGGAGCAGCTCTGCAGGCAGCACTGGGGTCCCCCACAGCCCTTTGCTCCCCCCCAGCTCCCTGCCCGGGGTGCAGAGCTGCCAGGGTCTCCCCGCCGCCCCAAATCCTCCTTCTCCAGCCCCACTGCCACATGCAAAGGGCTGCAGCTTCCCCCAG